TCAAAATAAAAAATCAAAAGGGCTGAGGACATGGCTCAGTAGTAACTACCCCTCCCCCATTCAATCCCTAGTACCCAAAAGGGGAAAATTCTGATCATCTCAATAGATATGAAAATTATTTGACAAAAGTCAATAACTATGATACAAACTCTCACAGTAGTAGAAATAGAAAAAAGCTTCTTTACCCTGATAAAGTGAATCTACAAACTATCACACATATACATAGCTGTTGATAAACAGTTAGCTCTAGAAATGTTGATATGAGTACATAGTTATATATGTACGCATGCACACACACACTTTCTGGCTTTGGACACTAAGCAATATTGTACCAGTAATGGCACAGCTACTGCCTAGATGTTGGCTTCTAAACACCATTCTCCAATTAAAGGAATAGGGCTCCTTGGAAAAAAGGCTGATTCAGGCTTTGGGTAGGGAAAGTGCAAAAAGAGCCTGGAATTCCCTGCTGCAGAAATAAGAAAGTACTAAAGAACAATAAAAAGATTAAAAAGATGTAGGAGCAAGCTTAAAGGGTCTCTTCTAGCCATTTTGGAACAATATGAGCATCAAAATTACTACTACTACTAGTATTACTACTACAATAATTCCCTAGATAAAATGAAAGTCTAAAAATTTATATTGATATAAAATCATTAATGAATAAAGAAGTGGAGAAGGGAAGGCTCTTCATTACTGAAGGATGCCAACCAATGCAGAAGACATGCTAGAGTTAGAAAAATCATTGGTAGATCCTAAAAATAGTGAGTCAACGTTTGATGTAGAATAGGATATTTAAGAGTTCCAGGATGTTTACCCCCAAATACTAATTAATTATAAAGATAATCAATAATAATTTACAGTGAATAAGCTTATGCACACCACCCTGAGTGAGGAAGTCAACAAGATTGGTATGGGGCAAACTGTGACTCCTGATAGTTCAGTAAGAAAGACAGGACACTCCTTCTGTGGGTGTCTCAAGCGTATAGTTTGGATTTAATCAAGAGGAAAGTTAGACAACCCCAAAGTGAGAAATATTATACCAAAAAAAGTGGCTTGTATTCTTAAAAAATGTCAAATAAGACAAAGGAACAGGTAAGAAATTCTTCCTGTTTAAAGAAAGCTACAGTAAACAACAATAAAAAAAGACTCCAGTGCTAGACAATTTTACCTCTGATAATCTTTTCAGAAATAGAAACAACCACCATGGAAATCGTCAAAAGATTAAGAATGGAACCATCTAACGAAGTAGCTAAAACACTTCTGGACGTCTTTGCATAACAATTAAAACCAGCATCCTTGAGAGACACATGCATACCCATATTTATCACAGCACAATTCACACTAGCCAAGTATGGAATCAGTCTAGGTGTCCGCCAACAGAAAATGGACAAAGAAAATGTGGTGCTTATAACACAAAAGAGAGTTATTTGGTTATAAAGGAACAAAATTATGTCATTTTCAGGAAGAAGGTTGGAACTGGAGAGCATTATATTAAGCAAAATTATATTAAGCCAGACACAGAAAGTCAAGGGTCATGTTTTCTCTCATATATGGAAGCTTGAGATAAAAATGTAAAAAAAAGGAGATCTTATGAAAATAGAGTGGATACAGGCAGGGGCTCAGGGGGAGAGGAGGGGAGAGGAAAGGGGAGTTAGTAGGGAATTAAGCTGATCAGATTATATGTATGTACAAATGTCCCACCCACCATTTGTTAGAGTGCAAATTTCTGACAACTTTTTTGGAATATATTTCCATAAGTATATATTTGAAAAACTTATTTTTGAACCAGTAAACTCACATCTAAAAATCTATTCTAAGGAAGCAATAAAATATCTAAACAAATATTTACATACAATCTGATTCTTCAAAACATGAACATATGTAAAGAAATGTAAGGATATTTATTAAATAATCAAATGTTGAATAATTAAAAAGGATATTGTCATTTAAAAATCATTTTTGTGAAAAATACCTAGTAGCCTGGGAAAAATCTCACAAAATTATGTTACAAAAATGGAGGTTATAGGGGCTGGGGTTGTAGCTCAGCGGTAGAGTGCTTGTCTTGCACATGTGAGGACCTGGGTTTGATCCTCAGCACAACATAAAAATAAATAAATAAAATAGGTATTGTGTCCAACTAAAAACAAAAATAAATATTTTTAAAAATGGTTATAAAATTGCTATTATAATTCCTTTAACTTTTTTTATTGTAAGAACATGCACCAAATTATTTCTGGGTAATGAAAAGATAGATTACAATTTTAGCTTTATTCTTTTCTCTCCCCCCTTTTTTTTTTTTAACCAAAAACATATATTTGTAAGAACAGAAAAATTCCAATAAGATTTACAAAAACTAGTCAATTAAAAAGTAGCAATTTTACCTGACAGTTTTGTTACCTAGTTTCTCTCAGTATACTGAAAACCATGTTGTCAAAGCTACTGTGTAGCAAAATTACATAAAATAACAATAACTCAAATATTGTCATGGGTCAGTTAGCAGAGGGCACTGTGATGCTACATGTTAAATTCTGTTCACTTGATTACTTTCTCAAAGACACCAAAGGCCACCGACATGAAATCACACAATAACTTTCCCATATTTTGTTCAGAGACACAAATATCAAATCCTAAAAAATGTTCAAGAGAACCTGAACATTGCCATCTTTCTCCAAAAGGTGGTAATCAAGGGTCAGGAAGTACCGCGGCATGGAGGAAGAATGAAAATGGAACACGTAAAAAGAAAAGATGCTTTTTGCTTTACTAGGCTTTATTTTTTAGAGTTTTGAAGGTTTCCAATTTTTTTAGAATTTTTTGCACCAAAAAAGGCATCAATACTTTTCATTCCACTCTTGTCAACTTTAGCCAAAGCCTTCTGAGCTGCAGTCATTTTGCTTGTTTTCTGTTTTTGAAAATAAGAGAGAAATATATGTTATGAATACAACATTAGTAAGTCATGCATGCAAATCAGACAATATTGTGTATGTCTCAAGGTTTGTCAAGGGAGGAAAGCTCTGCTATTAACATGCTTCCCAAGAGAATGAAAAAAATTTGGATATCTATTCATAATTCAGACACAGAATATGTTAAGATAAGACTGCTGCCTTCCTAGGAGTGGACGGTTACAGTCAATGATCTACTGCAGGGGGAATAATTCTGGAGGGTTCATTAGTGCAATAACACAAACAATAGAACTGACACAGGCAGAGATTGGAATTACAGCCTTATATTACCACACGATGAATAATTCACATCAACTTACAATCTGATTTTATTCATTTGCTCTATGGGAAACCAAGCACAACTCTAGTATATTCAAAAGATGACCTATATTACAAAACATCCACTGGTCTTCAACTAGTACTGAAAAGTACTTCTTCAACAAAGAAATACTCTCCAAAAAGCTGACTCCAAATAACTCTGCCCTTTAAATTTTTCTCTCTTTCGTGGTTACTGTATTGTTCTCCCCTTTCACCTGAACTATGTCCTTTAAAAAGCACTAGAAGATGGTAAATAGCAGCTGATTTTACTGCAATGCATCAAAACTTGTTGAAAAGAAGTATAAATAATGGGAACCAGTAAAGAAAAAAAAAATCATCTATCTCCCTGGAACTGTAAGATAAGTTCAAAGGCACAGCATATGATTCCTGCAATCTGGCTTCCCACGTTCTATCACACATCACATAGGAGGCTTAATTCTTGACTGGATGGTGAAAAGTAGCCATCTCATCCAGACAAGTTGTTCAGGGTATTTATGCCTTAATAAGTGACACATAAACTCTAAGGGGACTATCCACTGTTAAAATCTAAATGAAAGTTAAACATAGAAACAATAGGGAAAAGGAAACATACATTCTTCAGAAAAAAACTTAAAACAACTAAAAAATCAAATGAAAAGGCTAAAAACATTCTGGAAAATTTATCTGTACCCTGTGTCATAAAAAGTGTTAATAATCTCAATTTAGAATAAGTTCTTACAAATCAACAGAAAACATTATTATTCCAACATGAAAACAGGAAAGGGACACAACTGCCCTTTGCAAAAATTGTAAATTATCGATAAACAATTGGGAAAACAAATCTTTCCAGTTAAAGAAACTTGACAGGCAAATATTTTCAAAATAAAAATAATGCTATCCAGTATGCTAGATAAACAGTCATTGGCAACTATGTTTGGGATTACAGATTTTTGTTACAACTTTAGAAAACAATTTAGCTATATATTTTATGAAAGAGTTCATGTTCTCTAAGCATTTACTCTTAGTTCTAAATTGTGTCTAATAAAATAAACTGATATAGACTGTAAATGTCTATCACTTCATTAAAACAAACAAAAACCCCAAAATTTAAAAGCCAGAAGTAACCCATAAATCCAAGACCAGGGAACGGATTACATTATATTCCATATGATGAAGTAAATTAACACTCATGATTGGATATGAAAGGATGATCAAAACTTCAAAGAGTGTTTAATGATATGTGAACATTTTCTCAACACAATGATAAAAGGGCAGAACCAAAAACTATGTAAGCATTATAATGCCAATTTTAAAAGCTACATGATATTTATAATGCATGTGTCAGATAAAACTTAGTACGAAATGTTACCCAAATAACATTTATGGGTAAATGCTGAATGGTCAAGTTATTAAAAATTTTTGTTATCATAATTTCTGGGAAGATTCTGGGCAGTAAGATTGACTAAAAATTTACCTGTAGAGGCTTCTTCCCTTACCACCCATCGCTCTATGAACACATGGCTAAGTGTAGGCACATTCTTGCCAAGCATATTGCTCTTCTCTGTTTTGTAAAAAGTTTAAATTGCTTAACATTTTCATTGTCATGCACAATTTTGAATAAATTAAGCCACAGAGATGCAAATTAATAATTTTCCATATTCAAAAACTAATCACAATCAAGTGTGCAATTGTTTCTGATGTCTATACAGGTCACCAATTGCAAATGTATAATATGTCACTACACCTGGACACGTACCTTTTCAGTCTTGAAATCTTTTGTGTTAAACTTAGTGTAATCTTCTTTTGCTTCTACAGGCTCATCTGATAACTTTAGTTTCTGCAATGTTAGAGCAGTGAAGTGGTGTCAAATGTCACCTTGCCACTTATATGATGCATTAAAAACAAACAAATGTGCAATTTGGACTCACACTGGACAAATGGAGCACAGACCTGGCAATGGATTTGCTTTTTACAAACGCCCTACATTTTGACAACTATCTATTGAACTAAGCCACGTACCACTTCCAAGAAGCAGCGGGGTGATGCGATTAGGTAGATACAAGACTCAATCTCTCATCCTGTGTAGCAACAGAAGCAAACTCTCACTTTGTGTGTGCCAGGTACAGTGAGAACCTAGGTGGCATAAGACTTCAAGGACAGTCTGGGGCTAAACACAATGCATGGATGTGTCAAAGACAAGAATTCCTTTAAAATGGATCAGATATCCAATTGTAACTAGGTTTCCGTCACCTCCTAGGCTAATTAATATCCACTGAGGAATACAGGAGCAATATTATTCTATTATTACCATAGTTGCATAGCTTTATCTCCTTACTTCCTTTCAATTTAATTATCTTATCCACACAAGAACAACTGAACAACAAGCAGCAGGAGAGGGAAGCGAAATGAATAGCTTAAGAGTCTAGTACAGGACGTGGGGTGAGATTTCTATTTTTATACAAGTGTTCTTCCCATTAAGTCCAATGCAGCTAAGTTGAACCTTCCCTAAATATTTTCGCCTTTCACATGGGTGTTTTGCAGCAATGCATGTGAAAATTCTGTCAGGAGCTAGACTGTGACCTTAATGACTATTAAAAAAAAAAAAAAGAAGAAGAAGAAGAAGAAAAGAAAGCATGTCATGCTTATGGTAAAAGGTGCAAAGGTGAGCAGAAGAGTCATGTTTGACATGGTGGATTGACTGTACAAGACCACTGCATGTCTTCAAGCTCTTTGTGGAGATACCATGTGGGTAAAAGCCAACATGGGTCTCCCCTAGGTAAACAGACTTATCATCAGCTTCATTCTTCACACCCCTGCTTTTCCTAAGCAATGAACTGAATCAGTTAGTTTAGTGCTAACATATGCCACCACCTGAACCACACAGGGGAGTAAAACTAAACGAAATTCTTAAATTCTTTGCTGTAAAGAATAGATGAGCATCCTGAGACTCTATCACATATTGTGGGAAAATCTTCTCTTGACCACACAGCAACCTACAGCAAATCAGCTGTCAAAAGCAAGACCACTGATTCTCAGCAGAAGGAAGAACAGGAACAAAGACCCTGAGGGGACTCCGCAAATGACAGACTTGAGGGACCCAGTGAACAGTGGCTGCTTTTAGATTGCAGCTGCAGGATGAGGTGGGAGAGCTGAGGGAAACCCCTGAGGTGCAACCAGTGAGTCAGCAGTCACCAGGTGAAACCCAGAAATACTGGTTCTTGGAATAAGAGGATTGATCAAAGAAACGGTGTGCACCAGGGAGGGGAGCTCCTCTCTGTCGAGCTGAAGCAAACCCTCATGATTCAAAAAATGCAGACTCAGGCAAACATGGAGTCTTGGCAGAAAGGAGATTTCCAGTCTGCGAAGGGAGCCAGTCTGGGAATGGGGTTGCCTCACTGTCCCCAGAATTTCTGTGACAACTGGGAAAGGGGCTTCATTGTCCAGATGAACTATGCCAGAGATCACAACTTCTGTGTTTTTTTCTGTCTTCAAAACCCAATGGCCACTGCTTTTCTTTCACTGGGTCAGCAGGCACCTACCTTGAGTCTCAAGCTGGTATCAGGAGGGAGACTGTGGCACTGACCTGCTGACAGCTCTGAGAAGCACAAGGTGGAGCAGTGTTCCCTTTGAAATTGGTGTCTAAGCTGGGTGTCCAGAGGCAAACAAACCGGTGGGATGTGGATTGGGGATGAGATTCAGAATGGAAGAGATGAGACTAGGTCTGGGGAAAAGCTTGCTGCTTACAGCACACCCCAGCACCCCCAAAGTCGCCACTGTAAGCTGGACACTTACACACACACACACACACACACACACATTTTGAGACATTCAGGATGTGCAGTGCCAGATAATCCAGGTCAGTTCACACACATACTGTAGCCATGCCCATCCTTTCCTCTGATACAAAAACCAGGGCTACGTGAATTTAGCTCTGAGCAGACCACGTTTCCTCAATGCTTGCTGGTTGGTGGGCAAGGAGAGGTGGAGCCCAGCATACAGGTTTGGCCTCCTTGAGCCAGAGTTGAGAAGGAATCAACTGAATGGCCAACGGGAACTGTGAGAAACTTTAATCTTTTTATATTTATTTTTACATTCACTTTCTTAGTCAATTTTGTTGTTATCCATTATTGGGTTTTTATAGTTCTAAATTTAAATATTTTTATCAATGAATTAGATTTGTTCTCAATCTCTTTTCTTCTTCATCATTTTAATTTTTTTCCTTTCTCTTTTTTCTTTCTTTCTCTCATTTCTTCTTTTCATCCCCATTTTTAATTGTTCTTTTTAGATATACCTGACAATAGAGTGTATTTTAACATATGATATATGTATGGAGTATATCCTAATTAGGATCCCATTCTTGTGGTTGCACATGATGTGGAGAGTCACTGTGGTGCATTCATATATGAACATTGAAAAGTAATGTCTGATTCATTCCATTGTCTTCCTATTCCCTTTGAAACTGGTGGTCTAAGCTTCATAATTAGGGACAAACAGGTTGGGTGTGTATTTGGGATGGGAATCAGAACAAGAGAGATGAGATTGAGTCTGGTAAAAAGTTTGCTTTTCTTCATTAACCTTTGTCTAATCCACTGAACTTGAAGTCCCTCCCCACACCCCCATTGTGAGTTAGCATCCATATATCAAAGAGAACATTCAACATTTGTTTTTGGGGGACTTGCTATTCACTTAGCATGATAGTCTCTAGATCCATCCATTTACGGGTAAAAGTCATTTTTTTTTTTTGTAATTGAGTAATATCCCATTATATAGGGTATTCCACATTTTCTTTACCCATTCATCTGTTAAAGGGCACCTAGGTTAGTTCTATAGCTTAGCTATTACGAATTGAGCTGCTATAAACGTTGATGTGGATGTGTCACTGAAGTATGCTGATTTTAAATTCTTTGGATCTATAACAAGGAGTGGTGTAACTGGGTCAAATAGGTGGTTCCATTCCCAGTTTTTTGAGGAATCTCCATACTGCTTTCTTTCTATAATTGTTGTACCAATTTCCAGTCCCACCAGCAATGTATGAGTATACTCTTTCCCCCACATCCTCACCAACATTTATTGCTGTTTGTATTCTTGACTAATGCCATTCTGTCTGGAGATGAAATCTCAGTATAGTTTTATTTTACATTTCTCTACTTGCTAGAGAGATGTTGAACATTTTTTTCGTAAATTGTTGGCCATTAGTATTTCTTCGGTAAAGTACCTCTTCAGTTTATTTGTCCATTAATTGATTGGGTTATTTGTGGGGTTTTTTTGGTGGTAACTTTTTAGAGTTCTTAATATATAGACGTTAATATTCTGAGGGGCAGGTGGCAAAGATTTTCTCCCATTCTATAGGTTCTCTCTGTACACTCTCGATTGTTTCCTTTTCTGTGAATAAGTTTTCTAGTTTGATACCATCCCATTTATTGATTCTTTACTTCTTGAGCTTTAGGAGTCTTGTTGAGGAAGTCAGTTCCTACGTCAACATAACAGAATATTGAGCCTACATTTTCTTCTATTAGGTTCAGGGTCTCTGATCTAATGCTTATGCCCTTGATCCACTTTGAGTTTTGTGCAGGATGAGAGAGAGAGGTTAAATTTCATTCTGTTTCATATGGATTTCCACTTTTCCCAGCACCATTTGTTGAAGAGGCTATCTTTTTTCCAATGTATGTTTATGGTGCCTTTGTCTAACATGATACCTGAATTTATATAGGTTTGTCTCTGTCTTCTCTTCTGTTCCACTGATATTCATGTATGATTTTTGTGCGAAATCATGCTGTTTTGGCTACTATAGCTCTGTAGTATAATTTAAGGTCTGGTATTATGATGTTTTCTGTTTCACTTTTCTTGCTAAGGACTGCTTTCACTATTCTGGGCCTCTTATCTTTCCAAATAAATTTCATGTCTGCCGTTCTTATTTCTATAAAGAACATTATTGGAATTTTACAGGAATTGCATTAAATCTATATAACACTTTTGGTAGTATGGCCATTTTGACAATATTAATTCTAACCATGAATATGGGAGATCTTTCCATCTTCTAAGTTCTCAATTTCTTTCTTTACTTTTAATAGTGGTCTTTCACCTCTTTTGCTAGATAGATTCCCAAATATTTTATTTTCTGAGGCTATTGTGAATGGGATAGTTTTCCTAAATTCTCTTTTGGTCGATTCATCATTGGTATAGGAATGCAATTGATTTATAGGTGTTAATCTTATATTCTGCTACACTGCTGAATTTTGTTTATAAGTTTTAGAAATTTTGGGTAGAGTTTTTTGGGTCTTCTAAATAAAGGATCATGTTGTGGGCAAATAGGGGTAGTTTGAGCTCTCCTTTTCCTATTTGTATTTCTTTAATTTCTTTTTGTCTAATTTTTCTGGCTTGAGTTTCAAGGACTATGTTGAATAGAAGTGGTGAAAGAGGGCATCCCTGTCTTGTTCTAGTTTTTAGAAGGAATGCTTTAAACTTTTTTCCATTTAGAAAGATGTTAGCCTTGGGTTTAATGTATATACCTTTTACAATGTTGAAGTATATTCCTACTATACTTAGTTTTTCTAGTGTTTTGAACATAAATTGATGTTGTCTTTGTTAAATGCTTTTCTATTGAGATAATTGTGTGATCCTTGTCTGTGAATCTATTGATGTGGTGAATTATATTTATTGATTTCTGTTTGTTGAATCTAACTTGCATCTTGGGATGAAACCCACTTGATCATGGTATACCATCTTTTAAATATGTTTTTGTATGTGCTTTATTAGTATTTTATAAGAATTTTTGCATCCATATTCATCAGGGATATTGGTCTGAAGCTTTCTTTCCTTGATGTCTTTGTCTAGTTT